GCTGTCCCTCAGCTCTTCAGCTCAAGGCTAGCACTCAACCACTTGAGCCACAGCTCCACTTCCGGCTTTTTTCTTTTTGCTTATGTGGTGCTGAGGAATCGAACCCAGGGCCTCTTGCATGCAAGGCAAGCGCTCTACCACTAAGCCACCTTCCTAGCCCCTCAGCCTCTTGAGTAGCTAGGATTACAGACCACCAGCACTGGGCCTTATACTATTTCTAATAGGTCAAAATACATTCCAGAAATCTATTATTTAACAAGCACTCTGCTACAGTGGACTATTCAAAGTGAAGATCACACCAAAGTCTTGAAGGTAGATTCCTGGCTGGGCAGAGGAACCTAGGTATTCCAACAGACTCAAGGAGGTCCCTACAGGAAGGGACAGCCAAGAGGACAAGTCCTTATGGCCTTCCCTTCTAAACTCCATGGGATTGACCCCATTCCTCCTCACCTATTGGACTGAGCCAAATCAAAGGCCTCTACAGTGCTCGGGTTCCGCTGAAGCTCCTGGAAGCGCTTGGTGTAGAAATCCAGGTCCCAGGAGTCCAGAGCCAGACCTGGGAGACAAACTCAGAGCTGGAGGAGCTGACTGTAGTCCTCAGGGAACATACTTCAGGTCTCGGCGTCCCTGCTGGACTATCCTGGCCTGGTTCCTACCTCTCCCAGGGACCCCTGCTTACCTAGCTCCTGGTTGGCTTTCTCCAGGGCAGCCCGACCCTCAGCCAGTATGTTAATGGGACCATGAAGAGGGGCCGGGATGTTCTCAGGGGAGAAGCTCTGGATGGGATTGGGAAAGTGCTGCTCCGTCATCCGGTCATGGAGGGCAACCAGAGCAATGGCTTCTATCTCAGCCGAAGGAGGGTGGGCAAACTAGCAATGAGACACATACACAGAGATCAAGGGATAGTTTTGAAGAATGGAAAGAAAGGGACTACCCTCAGCCCTTCAATGCAATGCCAATCTGCTTCATCTTCATAGTATGTGTTTTGTTTTTGTTTTTTGCAGTGCTGGGTATCAAACCCAGGACCATATATATATGCTAGGTAAGCAATTATCACTAAGCTATATTCTTAGATCCCACGTAGCACCTTTGATTAGGCCACACAAAAGCCTCCCTTCCAGGCATGAATCTATGCCAGAATGCAAATTTGTTCAGGAAGCCCAGACTGGACTTCTAATCAGGTACCTTCAGGTAAGCAAACAACTTTCACAACCATACAGCTTTTTCCCCATGTTTCCAATGACCTCATGAGAGTTTAGGAGCTAATCTCTTAACTTTGGTCCATCTGGTCCACCTGATTCTCTATCTGACAGTCTACTGACTCACTGAAAGCCGGTAGCGCCGGGTAGTCTCCACTCGTTCCACTGCCTCCAGTCCAGAAGCCTGGCACACAGAAACAATGTTGGTGGACAGTGGGGTTGAAAAATTCAGCCTGAGGAGTAAAAGAGATGATTAGAATCTGAGAGTCTGCAGGGCTCAGCTGGAAGGGGATCTTGCTCACCACTGTCCAACTCCCACTATTCTTTTTCTATAGGTGTTAAGGCAAGACTGGTCACCAAGAAACTTGCTTTCAAAAGTCACTCTCAAGTCCAGCACCTGTAGCTTACACCATAATCTTAACTATTCAGGAGACTGAAAACCAGAGGATGGCAATTTGAGGCCAGCCTGAGCATAGACATCTGAGAAACTCCATTTCCTAACCAATAAAAAACTAGGCTGAAGAAGAGGCTCAAGTGATAGAACACCAGCTAAGCAAGTACAAAGCCCTGAGTTCAAACCTTGGTAAAAAATAAAAAAAAAAAAAAAAAAGTCAGCCAGGCACCAGTGGCTCATGCCTGTAATCCTAGCTAGTCAGAAGGCATCTCAGGGGGAGGGAAGGTGGCTCAAGTGGTAGAGTGCTAGCTTTGAGCTGAAGAGCTGAGGGACAGC